TATTACTTTTTACTTGTACTACTTTTCCTACTTTGCATTTTTTCACTTATCGCAGGGCTTCAGGGTATGGATCCCCCGTGATAAACGAGGGACTACTGTAGTCCTTTGTTTTTAAAACACTTATTTATATTTGTTTATGTTTTTATAAAAGAACTGGTGATCAACGTTTTTTTGTTTGTTTCTATAAAAGTTGAAATTAAGCCAATGCCGCTCTGGTCATGTCCACTCAGATATAATGTGAGGTTCTGCTCGCTACAGAATGAGTTAAATAAAAAAAATACAAAACACAATAATAAGTATGATTACTCACTGATACTCAGTGTCAAAAAAAATACTTCCTTTTGTGTGGACAGAGTATTTGTCTGGACGTTTCAAAAGCAACTTTTTAAAATTTATTTATTGTTTTTAAGGTTTCTTTTGGTTTGAACTTCTAAAAACCTATTTGGAAAGAACAATTTGATGTGACTTCATTGCAGAATATGATGTTAAACTTTAAAAAAAGAGGTTTTGCTGAACCATATGATGCAGTGTTAAAGGGGTTGTTCCACTATTTTACCAAAGCACTTGGCTGAATTCATGTGGAAGCTTGAGTCACTTCATTGACCCTACAGTAGATTGATGTGGTCTAGATTAAGAAATATGCTTGGTAAATTTAATTAATGGCTCTTTTCCATAGGTAAACACAAATGATAGATGGCATCATTTGTTTTTTAAATAAAAATCATGAACACTGTAGAGTTTTTGATCTGGTAAGGTGTCAGTATCTTAGTTTGGAAACAGCATAATAAAAGTATAGAAAAACTTAAAGGATGGGTATTTTATTTGAAATTCATCAGGCTGTGTAAAGTAACTGCCTCATTATTCTTTGACCTCTTCACAAACTCCTCAGGTGCTTGACCAGGAGATCCCAGTGAAGAGGAATTTTGTAAAGGTTGTGATTCAGGTGGAGGACTGTAACGACCACTCACCAGTTTTTCTCAGCCCTCGCTACGAGGCCAGCATCTCTAACCTCGCCCCTGCTGGCTCTGAGGTCATCCGGGTCAAGGCCCTGGACAAGGACACAGGAAGCAATGCAGACATCAGCTACTCGCTGCACTCTGGTGAGCAACGCAGCTCTATTTTTATATTTGATCTCCGCTTGCCTCTTTTCACCTTAACTCTGTCACACCTTCATTCGTTGCTCTTTGCTCGTGAAAACTGCCACTGTTTTCTATTGTTGAACAGTGGGAGCTGCTTCTGTCCAAACAACTTAAATGTTGAACATTTTGCTGTTTGAATCAGCTCATGTTGGTGATAGAGTGTGGTCCTTGAACCCATATGCTCCATCTGAACACTTTGTGTTGACGCAGAGTGTTTTATACAGCAAGGAATATCCATCTTTGTAATTGTTTGGTATCACTTTCTGCTTAAACGCTCATTTTGTCTTTGAAGGTAACAAATGAACCATGAGGCGAGATAAATGTCACCGTTCTGCAGTTTCTCCTGTTTACATTGCTGCAGCAGAATCACAACGATTATTTTTAATACTGGACAAAAATTGATACCAAAGTAAACTTGAATACTTTCTCTGCAGTTCCTTTAGATTTTCATGTTTAAACATATGCACTTTTTAAAATATAAAATTGATATTTTAGATGTCCCTTATAATTATGTTGTCACTTATACAAATTCAGTCTAACACATGACTTGCTTTTTCCCTGCAGGAAATATTGGCAACATCTTTTCCATCGATTCAAAGCTGGGCTCCATCAGTGTTTCCAAACCTTTAGACCTTCAGCCTCAGGACCAGTTCCACCTTACAGTAAAGGCCATTGATCAAAGTTTCCCACAGCACTCCGATTTCTGTTCCGTTCACATTCACATCCGCATTTCTGACCAAACCCCTCCCACCTTCCCATCAGAAGAATACTTAACCGAGGTCAGTGAGTCAAGCGCTCCTGGTACACCAGTGGTTACCATCTCGGCCTCCAGCCCAGCTGCAGTGCAATATGGGATAGAAAGTGGCAACATAAAGGGAACATTTTACATCAACCCCTACACCGGGATGATTTCCACTCACAAGTACCTTGATTTTGAGAACTGTGATACCTACAAGCTCAAAGTTACTGCCTCCACCACAGCAGGAGCCATGTCCAAGACACTTGTTCATATTTATGTGGTTGACGACAATGATAACGCGCCTGTCTTTCAGCAGATGGAGTACGTGGGACAAATTAGTGAGTCTGCACAAATGAACAGCATGGTGATGGGAAAAAGAAACATGCCGCTGGTCATTCAAGCCTTAGATGCAGATCAAGAATCAAATTCTCTGCTGACGTATCAAATCCTTGAACCTGAGGCTCTGAAAGTCTTCAAGATTGACCCAAATATGGGCACCATCTCTTTGATTTCACCAGTTGACTTTGAAACTAAGAGCGAGTATCACCTGACAGTGCAAGTGAAGGACTCTGGGGAGCCATCGTTGTGCGCAGCAGAGCCTGCCAGGGTCACCGTTCATGTCCTGGACATGAATGACTGCCCTCCACTATTCACCTCCCCGGTATACGAGCCATCCATTATTTTTCCAGCCATCAGAAATACAGAGGTTGTGCGTGTTACAGCCTATGATGCTGATTCAACTGTCTCATATAGCATCACAGATGGAAACCCTTATAATGCTTTTTCAGTTGACCCTAATACTGGAGTCATCACTCTGACCAATGTATCTGAATTAAGACCATTTTACCAGCTGGGCGTCAGAGCCTCAGATGGCTTGTTTAAAGATTCAGCCACAGTCAAGATAAATGTAACAAAACTGATGCCAGGTAATTTTAGATTTGAGCAGAAAATTTACTTAGCAAGTGTTAGAGAAAACCTAAATATGGTCAAAACCTTGGCAGCACTAAAAGTCTTGGGAAGCTACTTAAATGAGCCTCTTTTGTATTCTGTCATGAACCCTATGGGTAAGTTTGCAATTTCCCAGGCATCAGGTGTTCTTGAAACCACAGGTGTCCCTTTTGACAGGGAGGAACAAGATGTTTATGATATAATGGTAAAAGTACAAGACATGAGAAGTCCACCTAGAACAGCCACAGCCCAGGTCAAGGTTATTATAGAGGATGTTAATGACAACTCTCCACAGTTTCTGAATCTGCCTTTTTCCATTATGATTTCTGAAGACAAAGAGCCAGGAGATGTTTTGTATCAAGTAAGTGCCATCGATAATGATCAGGCAGAAAATGGGTCCATCTTGTACTCATTAGAAGAGGACTATGGCCTCTTCAGGATTGATCCTGAAGTAGGTGATATATCCCTTCAAAGACCTCTTGATTTTGAAGCTATGAGTAAATATGGGTTGATAGTGTTAGCTACAGATGATGGAGAGCCAAGTCATAGCACCATGGCTCAGCTCATCATTCAAGTGAGGAATCGAACCAACCCAATTTTCCAAACGCTTCTTTATCCTTTGAAAGTCCCTGAAAATGTTCCCCCATTCACCACCATCCTGCATGTGCAGGCCAGGAACCCAGAGGGTTATCGAATCATCTACAATCTTGAGGAGGAAAATGCATCAAAGCATTTTCACATGGATTTCAAAACTGGTGTACTGACTGTCACCAACCCCCTTGACTTTGAAAGCCAAACATTTCATGTGCTGACGGTCCGAGCTACTGACTCTGTGTTAGGAGCGTCATCAGAAGCTTCAATTGAAATAGAAGTGGAGGACGTAAATGACAATGCACCAGTTTTCTCACAGCAAACTTACAACGTGAACATTGCTGAGGGGCTACCAGTCGACACCTCTGTGATACAGCTCTCTGCTACTGACAAAGACTCTGGAAGAAACAAAGACTTAACTTATCACATAGTTAAAATGGAAGGGAATGAAGCAGATTTCTTCCAGATAAACCCTAAGACTGGGTTGATTGTCACAAAACAGGTACTAGATCATGAAGACATAAAGCATTTTAATTTAAAAATCAAAGCCATTGACAATGGGACTGTCCCTCTCAGTAGTGAGACATTGGTTTATGTAAATATCACTGATGTCAATGACAATACTCCAGATTTTGTCAGTCCTCATTATAAAGCCACTCTGGATGAAATGGCAAAATGTGGCCACATAGTAATCAAAATCCAGGCTTCAGACCCTGATTCTGCTGACCTCAGTAATCTTAAGTACAAAATCCACTCAGGAAATGAAGACCGATTTTTTAACATCAATGAATCCTCAGGAATCCTCTCCTTTTCTAATGTCTGTAGGAAGAACTTGGACCCTTATTACAACCTGACTGTGGCTGTATCTGATGGAGTGTTTCAGAAAACTGTACCAGTCAATATTGACATGATTAACAGCAACAGGCACAGTCCATATTTCAAACAGAGCATTTATGAAGCTGAGCTGGCTGAAAATGCAGAGCCAGGAACTCGTGTGATCCGACTGGCTGCCATAGACCCCGATGACGGCCCATACGGAAGCGTTGACTACACCATTATCAACAAACTAGCTGATGAGAAGTTTGACATATACAAAGATGGGCAGGTTGTTACAACTCAACCACTGGACAGAGAAAACGCCACCCAGAAAGTCATAGCAATCAAGGTAATGGCTAAAGATGGTGGTGGAAAAGTGGCCTTTTGCACTGTCAAAATTATTCTTACAGATGAGAATGACAATGTGCCTCAGTTTAAAGCAACAGATTACCAGGTTTCTATCCAGTCTACTGTAAATAAAGGTTCCCCTGTTATTCGAATCATGGCTTATGATGCCGATGACGGCAAAAATGCAGATGTCACCTACACTGTAGAAGAAGCTGAAGAGGTCACCGAAGACATCATTGAGATCAACCCTTTCACTGGAGTAGTGAGTGTCAAGGAAAGTCTTGTTGGGATGGAGAACAAGATCTTCAATTTTAAAGTCAAGGCTCGTGACAGCAGCCTTCCTTTTTACAACTCCACAGTGCCTGTTCAGATGAAAGTGGTTCCTCCTGAGGTTCCCCTGCCCAAGTTCACAGAACCTCTATACAGCTTCTCAGCAGCAGAAGACGTTCTCATTGGGACAGAAATTGGTTTTGTGAGGGCTGACTCGGACATTCCCGTCATTTACAGCCTGGTGAATGGGAACACTATTGAAAGCAACAAAGGCAAAGAGTTCAGCATAGACAAAGAGAGTGGAACTTTGCTGTTGCAGAAACCCATTGATTATGAAAAGACAAAGTGGTACCAGGTAGATGTGGTTGCTCAGGGGAATCAGAATGGGACGGACATTGCATCTTTAGTTTCTGTCATTATCCAAGTCCAGGATGTGAACGACAACCAGCCTGTGTTTGACGCAAGTCCATACAGGGCATTCTTGGCTGAAAACATGCCTGCTGGTACCACTGTCATCCAGGTGAGACAGAGAAATTTATATTCTCATTCGATTTTGGAGTCGAGCAATATCTGCTTTTCAAATTCTTATTTTAAATGATTAGTCAGATCTATCAAGATTGAGATTGGCCTTCTAAACACAAAAGTTTTAGTTGACGTAAACTAGATGCTATGATCCAGCTAAGCGAACTGCTAGTCATCATCTTTGTTTGAATGTGGCATCATCTTTTGACAAACTGTTGCTAGTATGTAGCGTCGTTTAAAACCTCATTTTATCCAGTCAGAGCAACTTCGGCTCAGTTTATTCAAGTCTCGCTTCAGGATAATTTTTCTCATCTAATTACCAGAAACACAGTAAAACAAAGTTTTGATAAAAATAAAATAAAAGGTTAAATTTGACTGTCAACTTTTACGTTTACCCTTATAGGTGACGGCCAATGATCCAGACACAGACAGCAATGGCCTGGTGACCTACAGCTTAGAGCCCCTGCCTGATGACACCCTGCCTGACATCACTGAGGTGTTCACCATTGACGGAGAGAGTGGCTGGATCACCACGATGCGGGAGACTGACTGCGAGGCCACCAGAGTCTATAGGTTTAACGTGGTGGCCACAGACCACGGTGGGGATGTCAAGCTGTCGTCCAGCGTCCTGGTAGAAGTGATGGTGACGGACCAGAACGACAACCCGCCGAACTTCACTGACGACATGTACCATGGCTCCGTGGTGGAGAACGTCACCCCATTCGAACCTATTGTTTCCATGACGACCACAGATGCAGATGTTTCGCTGGAGAACCGCCTTGTAACGTGTTACATCACAGGTGTGCATGTCTGTATATTTTTATTATTGTGGGGATTTAGATTTGTGTAGTTCTGCCTTACAATATTTACCGAAGATCATATTTGGGGTTTTCTGTGCAAGCAAGCGTGCATGTTTTAATCAGAGAAATGGCAGTCCTGCTGAGAATCTGCGGTACTGTGGGATTTACCAAGACATTAATGAGGTGAAATGAAATTTTTGTTAATCGCCCTCAACTGAGTCATATTATTCAGCCTCAGATTAATCCCAAAGAGAAACAAGGTGACAATACAAGGATGCCAACTGGGCGCCCTGCAGCTAACAATACAAATACGGCCTTGAATTAATCCAAATCTCAGACAGTTAAACTGTTCCAAAGGAGCTCTCTGTCACAACGTTCTGCTTTGCAGGAGGGAAGTGTTTGTGTTGGGATTATTTGTAATGGCAGGATTTGACTCATGTTGACACTGACTTGTCACAGACACAAAATCGGAGGCAAATGCAAATTAAAGTTGCCCTATACCGACGTGATTTATTAGAGGATATTGCTATTCAAAGCACCACAGGGTTTAATATTCATGACTATTGATTTCAACAGGTTTTCTTCACAGATAAAGGTCTGCAAGTGCTCAACCCAGTCAAACCGTTTAAGATGTTTATATATTTATTTAATTATTTGCTTGTTTATTCAGTTATTCGTTCCTTAGTTGATTTAGTGTTTTTATTTCTTTTTTTTTTTTAACTTTTATTCACATGCCTGTAAAATAAAGATAATACAATTGTTTCTTGAACGCTGCTAATATTTGTTTACATATATATTTATTTTTAATTTATTTATTATTTGTAATTTTTATGGGTTTTTTTTTTATAATAATTTTGTTAATTTGTTATTTTATTTATATTTTATAATATATATTAATATAAAAATTCTAAATGTGGTCCTTCCAGTTTGCTCTCATCACATGATTAACTGTTGGGATTATCCTTATCGTCTTTAGAGTTAGTGTTTCTTTAACATTTCTTTCTTAAATATTTACAACATTTATACAAATGTAGAAACTTTTCTTTCTGACCCTTTCTTCATCTGCCGAGTCTCATCAGACACAGTTTTTCATCAGTTACTAACAAAACAACTGTGTGTAAATTGTTTTTAGCAAAGCTTTGCAAACAAGTCAGTGAATTACTCTGAAAAATAATTTTCTTTAAGTACCAGCGCAATAGAGCCTGACACAAAGATCACCGTTAACTCCTCCATATTTTCTATTTGATTTAAAAAAAAATCTGCACTTAGTGGCCCGTTTGTAATGTTATTCATTGGATGATGTCATCCCAAATCGCACGAAATGTGTGTAGATCAGCATGAAGTTAATGGTTAATATATACCGAAGAGCTCCAGCTGAATAAGTCTGTCATGAGACCTGTACAGCAGCTGGTGAGAAAACTGCTCAGTCTGCATGCATCACCTGTCAAATAAGGTGTGTTTTCTTGGGTTAATCTTCTTCAACAAACAATCAAAAGGTCATAATTAGCAGAGGCGGTCAGCTTGGTGGGAAATACAAAGAATCAAAAGTGTTTTGTACAATAAAATATACAACAGTTAAAGAACAGGAGTCGGTGTAACCTGAAACATCCCCTTGGTGATTAAAGCTGAACTGCAGCGGACAAAAAAGGATTATTATTCATCCATCCCATGGAGTACAAAATAACCATGACTTGGTTCTTTGTTTTCTACAGACGGAGACCCGTTGGGCCAGTTTGCCATCATCCAGGAGGACGAGGGTCAGTGGGGTCTGATAGTGAAGGAGACTCTGGATCGAGAGACCAAAGACAGGTACATCCTGAAAGTGACGGCCACCGACGGGAAGTTCGAGGCTCCGGTTACGGTGGACATCCACGTGCTGGACATCAACGACAACAGTCCAGTCTGCGAACAGGTGAGTCGTATCTGGATCATTTGAAGATGCCTAGTCTAAATATTTCCATCACTCGAACCACTAACAAACACTATTGTACTTCTATATTTTTTTAACTAAATCACTTTTTGTATTTTTTATGATATAAAATTAGTGTTTATATCGTAAATAATTTCGTATCGTATATCGTTTACATCCTGTGCATATGTTTATATTTCTGTAACCGAAGATCTTTTCCTTCGCACTAAATCCCGTCTAGTTTTCAAATCACTAGTCCAACAGCTGCGTTTCACGTCCCTGCAGTGAACGGTTGGTCCGTCAAACAATCAGTGACGGCCTCTAACGGGTCCGATGCATATCTGATGTTCTGTTCCTCTGGTTCCAGCTGGTGTACACTAAGGGGGTGATGGAGAACTTGCCGCCCAGGAACTTAGTGCTCAAAGTGTCAGCTTCAGATCCAGATGTTGGAGTGAACGGTGAAATCACGTACACACTCCATGGTCCAGAGGCAAAAAAGTTTCTTCTGGAACAAAGGACGGGTATGATGGTGTCTGTTAGGAGATAAATTCTCGTTGTGTGAATGATTATGACGCACTCTCACTACTGTGATCCATTTTTCTTCCGTACATTTTTCGGTGCGTTTCTCGGTCCGCAGTTTTTAAACTATTTCAACAAATCACGAATCAAAACGTTCAGCTCTTTCGGGACAATCCTGAAAAGACTTCTGGTATTGGTGCGACTTTAGCTTTTGGAAATATTTAGCCTTTTCTGCCATTTCTTTCTCATAGAAAATGAATGGAGCTCATTTTACGTTATCTTTAGATCAGTTTACAACATTTTTCTGCTCCTTTCACATTTTGTTCAACTTCCTTGTGCATATTTAAAAAAAAATCAGCTACTTTCAGCTAATTTCAGCTGAGGTTTTTTTTTTAGCAGTTTTGTGCTCCTTTCATATTTTTTCTGCTAACTATAACATGTTTGTGCTTCTTCTAACTTCTTTCTGCTAATTTCAGCTTGTTATGCTCCTTTCAGCTTATTTCTGCAAGTTTCAGCTTTTTCTACTATTTCAGCTACTATTTAGCTGTTTTTTTTTTTACTTTTTCCGCTAATTCCATATTTTTTGCACTCATTTATACTTTGTTCTGCCTAATTCAGAAAAAATGTACTCTCTCTCCAATTCCTTCTTGAAACTCATGCTTTTTATTTTTTGTTGTTTTAGCTACTTTTCAGCAGATTTTTTTTTTTTTTTTTTTTGCAAATGTTAGCTTTTTTTTCAGATAATTTCCACTTTTTGGGCTCATTTCTTTCAGCCTAAATTGGGAAAACTTGGTTTTCCCTGCTTTCTTCTGCTAATTCAAGCTTGTTCTACTTTTTCATCTAGCTTTTCAGCATGTTTTTGGATAATTTCAGCTGTTTTTTTCAGTAATTCTTCAGCAATAAACATTCACACTGCATTTTTGCAAGAAATACATGTTATCTAGTTCATTCTGTAATTGTTTAGGATTGTGTTCTTAACAGCTGCTTCAGCTTACAGGAACCAAAAACATTTTGTTTTATCACCTAAGATTATTATTCCTTCTCATTCATGTCGGGTTCTGTTTTAAAACAAACTCCCATCAGTCCAGCTGTTTTTTTAAAACATATTTCCAGGTTTTTTTATGGTATATAATATTTTGATAAAGTTCTAATATTGTACTTGAGCTTTGACTAAAACATTTGGAAAATAAGAAGATTTATCAGATTTCAGTTAGTTGGAATCCAGGCTGCAGCAGGAAGTGCTAACAGTAAAATAATGGGAATTATTTCAGGACTTTCAAAATAAAAGCTGTTTGGATGTGAACGTTTGCTGCTGTTCGGTGTTTTCTGTGGCTGATTGTGACTCCGCTCTCCTCAGGTGAGCTGTTCACCTGGGCTGCTTTGGATCGTGAGACGGACTCGGAGTTCAACCTCGTGGTGAAAGCGACAGACGGCGGGGGTCGGTCCTGTCAGGCCGACGTCCAGCTCGTGATCCAGGACATGAACGACAACCCGCCTCACTTCTCCACCAGCCACTACGAGGTCACCGTGTTCGACAACACAACGGTGCACACGCCCATCGCCGTCGTGTACGCCACTGACGCAGACACAGGTGAGCGTGTGCTGACGTTCAAAACGACTTCAGTTGGATTTAAAACCGTAAAAACACGCCATTGTTGTCCTCAGGTCACAACATGTTGGTTTCAGGAATCCTTTTTGCACCGGTAAACACAGGCTTGCCTTTGTGCGTCTAAAATCTAAATGAGGTTTGACTGATCCCAAACATAATAAAACACTAATCTGTTTCTAACAGAGTTTTGGATTCTGAAACTCCCACCCGATTCTTTTTTTATGTGTCATCCCAGCTGTGCTGGTACTAACGTGCTGCACGCAGATTTTAACCTCCAACCCCAGCAGCATTAGCACCTCACTTTATATGAGTTCACAGTAACGTTACATGTTGAGCAACAGTTAAGTGTGTTTTATAATCAGCATTCAGCTGCAGATGCAAACAGCCCCCTCACTAAATTAGATTTTAACCCCTTCAAGTATCTGGATTCCAAGAGCTGCACACAGAAAAAACTTTGAAATCAAACATCTGTTTATTTAACGTTTCATCCTGGAGTTCATCATAATTTACATTGTGTTTTATATTGCAATAGTTTTTAACAAAGTGTTCAACACAGGGCCACATCAGAGCAGCATCAAATGTTTTAAATGAAATAAAACTTTAATTTAGCATGCTTATAAACCCATTCTTTCATGGTTTTAGATGGTGTGTTACATTGTTTTAAGCAACAATTCCAGTTCCAAGCATGAATCGGTGAGGACAGTGAGTTTAATCTGTGTGTGAAATTATAATATTATAATAATCGGAGTGTCTCGTGCAGCTTAAGGCTTGGAACTCAACACTCGACAGTCTGGGAAATGAGAAAAGCCCGGGAAGGAAAGAGAAACGTCTTCAGCTACAGAATAGGTGTCCAGTTGCTTTCTTTGAAAAACATAAATAGATTAAAAAATAAATATATTACAGTAGTCCCTCGTTACTTTGCGGTTTCTTTCTAGCGGACTCGCTCTACAGCAGATATTCAAAATAAAATTGGGCATGACACACAATTGGCTGATTGATGGATGAGCCGCACGATCTGCATGGCATTTTTATTTAAAATAAATTATTTTAAATTATTTAGCACCTGCTGCACCTGTGCACAGCCCACAGCTGCAGCGTGTCAGATGTCCGCTCTGCAGCAGAGAAGTGGGCGTGGCCAAGAGCTGCTGGCAGATGGCAGAGAGCGGCCGGAGGCAGAGAGCTGAAATCCTGACATGCTGTGCTCTTTTAGAAAATTTAGAGTTTAGAAACATTGTTAGAGACACAGCAAGAATGTGGGAAGGGTTTAAAACGCCTTAACATATTCTACCTGTATATAAATACTGAAAAGAATACTACTTACTACTGCAGTAAATACTAAAATGAACTACTACTTACTACTACTGCTACTTGTGTACATAATTTTGTTCCATCTCATGTACCACGATAGATAGATAGATAGATAGATAGATAGATAGATAGATAGATAGAT